AAGTCTCGCATGTGGGGCATGCTCTGAGATACTGGCTCAAGTGGATTCAATAGTTAACCAGTTTTGAAATTTCTGCCAATCATGCCTCTCCAAACACGATGAGGTTTGGAAAAATCCATTGATTGACATTGTCCATCATAGCGTCTCTATTTGCCTGGTATTTTGTTGCCAACCTTTGGCTGAGGTGGTTGATTAACTTGTTCCATCATCTGTCCTTTCATGGTTAGGGTTCTGAGTCTGGCATTTCAGTTTGGGAGATCGCCAAAGAAACTTCGTCTGAGGTGATCCCAGGCCAGATACTTGTATGCACCAGCAAGTACAGGGCCCAGCACAGTCCATCATGCCAGTCAGCTGGTAGTTGCGATTGCTGGGTTGGTTCTGTTTTCAGCCCCACCTTCCACTGGAACCAATGGGTGTTGCAGTCCAGACGGTTCTGCCCAGCGCATACTTGGCCCTCACATAAACCAGTGGGAGCTGCAGCCTGGTGAGAGCGACCCATAATAACCCCCACCAGGCCCGCCCCCTACCCTGGTTTGCCAGTATGTGTAGCAGACCAGTCCAGTCTGTCCCACATCCCCCCTGGCTTTCGTACATGGCAAATGGCATTGAAGCTTAGTACCATCTAACCAGCTCAACAATCAAGCCCTCTCGGGTGTTGTTGAGTGCCTCTCTGTCTAGCCACCCCAGCCCCTGCCCTAGTTTTTGTGCCCTCCCGTGGGAGCGGTAACCCAAGAGGGGGGAACCCACTATTTCCCTCCCAGGTCCCTCCCGAATTGTGCACTTTCCAGGTGGTTCTGCAGTTTAACTTGACAGAATTAGCCCCCAGTGCCAATTTCTGCCAGCTGATGCTGTGGCTATGCCCAAACAACCCTCGCCCACTCTAATTGTAGGTTGCACCCATAGGAATAATCGGCCCAGCCTGGCTTTTCCCTGATCTAGTCCCCATGAGGCGTACAGGTGTTGTAGCCCTGTTTAGTCTGGTCTGCCCCCATCCCAGTTCATGCTCTCCAGTGGGAGTAGCTGTCCAGCAGGGGAACCACCCCTTATTCCCCTGCTGGTTGTCCCCTCCCTTCCTGGTTCTCACGTGTGCTGGATGGGCACTGCAGTCACATCAGGCACAGACAACCTCATCCTGGCACTCTTTAGTGTGGACTGGTTTTTATCGTAACCAAACCTGGCTCGACCCTTACCCTGTTCTGGTGCTCCAATTTGACAGTGATGACGTTAACTGATTCAGCCTGGTCTGCCCCCGTGTTGGGTGCCTTTCTGTCTAGCCATCCCAGCCCATGTCCTGGTTTTTGTGCTCTCCAGTGGGAGTGGAAACCCAAGAGGGAGGAACCCACTATTTCCCTTCTAGTCCACTCCCACTCCTGGATTATGCACTCTCCAGGTGGTTCTGCGGTTTAACTTGACAGTTAGCCCCCAGTGCCAGCTTCTGCCAGCTGATGCTGCGGCTAAGCCAAACCAACCCTCACCCACTCTAAGTTTTGGTTACAGCAGTCGGAACAATCAGCCCAGCCTGGCTTTTCCCTGATTTAGTCCACATGTGGCCCACAGGTGTTGTAGCCCTGCTTAGTCTGGACTGAACCCATCCCAGCTCACGCTCTCCAGTGGGAGTAGCTGTCCAGCAAGGGAGTACCCCCATATTTCCCCTGCCAGCTCCGCCCTCTCCCTCCTGATTCTCACGTGTACTAGTTGGGCACTGCCGTCACATCTGGTACAGGTAACCTCACCTTGGCATTCCGTAATGTGCACTGGTTTTTTGTCATGACTGAACCTGGCCTGACCCACACTCTGTTCTGGTGCTTGGATTTGCCAGTGGATGATGTGAACTGATTCAGCCTGGTCTGCCTCCGACCCATGCCAAATGTATGCCAGTGGATAACTTTCCATGGCCTGTTTTGGGCTGTTTCCTATCATGCTTCTTGCGCTTACCTGCAGGGTCTGTGTTCTGCCAGAGGAGTTGCCCAGGCTCCTCCATCAGAACCTCTCCTGTGCCAGATTTCGCACATACCAGGGGGTCCATTAGCCAGCCCTACTCAGTTCACCTCCTGTCCTAGCAGGAACAGTGGCTTTTCCTGACTGGCCTTCAACCCAATGTGGTTCTTACTGTTGGATGTTTCAGTCTGCCACGGCTCGTCCATACCCACATACAGCTCACACATGGCTCAGTAGGGGCTGAGACCTAGCCTATTCTGTCCCACATCTACCCTGGTCCTCCAGAGCACCAGATGGTGTTGGAGTCTAGCCCGGCTTGGTGTATCCATTCCCAGTCCACACTTGTGCTGAGACTACAGCTGTATCCTGATCAGAATGCAGCCCCCATTCCAGCCCCGTGCCTCTTGGTGGGAACCAAAACCCAGCTAGGGTGTCCCCTTAGCTCCCCAACCGGACCTGTTCCCAGCCATAGATCGTGCGCATGTCAGTGGTTGCTCTAACTCAGCTTGGCACAGTCCCTCACCTGTCCTGGCCCCAGCCTTCCTGATTTCTAATTTTGCTTGTGGGCTAATGATTGCTCAGTCCTACCTGGTCTACCCTGTTCCACTGGAGCTGCTTCGCCCAGCTTGTCCGACCCCCAGGTCTGGACCATGTGTTCACCAGCGGGAGCTATGACCCGCCAGGGGAGTTTCCCAAGTTCCTCCACTTGACCCACTCCCAGTTCTCATACATGCCATTGGGGTTTAGGCCAGTGTCCAGCATAGTCTGGCCTTCCATTTGGCCTTGTATGAGCTGGTGAACGTTGAAGCCCGGTGCACCCCACACCCTACTCAAGACGCACATTCGGGTATTGCTGCTTTGACCAGTCCAGACTGTTGTCGGTTCCTTTACCTGTGAGTGATGGCAGGCTCCTTGGTCACACCTAGCATAGTCCATCACCACCTCAACTCTTGTTTGTTTGAATCAATTTTGAAAGGAGCTGACCATCGTTTCTTTTTTTTTTATTTGAAAGATTTATTTATTTATTGGAAAGTCAGATATACAGAGAGGAGGAGAGACAGAGAGGAAGATCTTCCATCCGATGATTCAACTCCCCAAGTGAGCGCAACGGCTGATGCTATGCCGATCCGAAGCCAGGATCCAGGAACTTCTTCCGGGTCTCCCACACGGGTGTAGGGTCCCAAGGCTTTGGGCCGTCCTCGACTGCTTTCCCAGGCCACAAGCAGGGGGCTGGATGGGAAGTGGAGCTGCCAGGATTAGAACCGGCACCCATATGGGATCCCAGTGCGTTCAAGGTGAGGACTTGTAGCTGCTAGGCCATTGCGCCGGACCCACCACCTCAACTCTTGAGCTAACTAGTGGAGCTAGTATTTCCACGGGGTTTGGCCCACACATCTCACACAGAATCTACCCCCGGATATGGTTCTCTCATGTGCTAGTTAATGTCATGGCCCTGCCTAATGTGATCTGTCTCCTGATCCTTCATCATGTCAGGTAATAAGGTATGATCCTGCTAGGCAAGCCCCGAGCCTTAGCTTTTGCATGGACTGGTGTTCGGTGGTCAGCATTGTTCAGTGATTACAAGTACTACACAGGATTTAAAGGAGTTTGGTGTATTAGTCTTATTTGTAAAGATCATCTGGTCCCTCTCCTCCAGCCTACCTACCAGGTCTCATTACCCTCGCCTACATTCAAAGGAAAAGTTACTCTGTCGTTGGGAGTCTTCAGGATTGATTGACATCCCAGAAGTACAGTGGGCTCAACATGGAGCTACCTAAGCAACAATTCAAAGCCCAAAACCCCCGAATGGCGCACTGGCCGCCCAGGGACAGGTCACCACGTGTACGAGCATGGAGATCCCTGCCTGGCACCCACCAGCAGCCTGTTGGCTGCTCAAAGTTTTAATCCCCAGACCCCAAGTTCGCCCTCTCCCTCATCCCATCCACTGCGCAATGATGGCGGTAGGTGGGGCCCCCTGGGCCCGCCCAGCCCTCCGGACTTCCCCCTTTGGTGTACTCACCATGAAGGGCGCAGCTTCTGGAGTTCGGGCAGGCCCAGGGGCCCAGCCATCACGTGTATGTGGTGGCTGGAATCGGGGCTCCAAGCATCCAGTTCTTTTTTTTGCCTGTCACCCCTTCTTGGAATGACAGTATATACCCTTGTGCATTTCCTCGCATCACACTTGGTATGTAAGTTTGGTTTCTCAGGGCTTTGCCTTGAGCCTAGATGGGGCTTTCAGTGTTACAGCTTTGGAACTGTTGGAGATGGAATGATTGTGTGTGTTGTATAAGACAAGGGCTTGCATTTTGGGAGGCCAGGCGGTGATTTACATAGCATTTGGCTACTGCCCCTTTAGATGCATGTTTGTGGGCACTGAGGGCAGAAACTTAACCCAGTGATGCAGGTTAGAAGGTGGGCTTTGTGGCGAGTCCTTGGGTCCAGAGAGTATGCCGGTTCCATCTCTGCTAACAGGCTGGCCAACAAAAATACAGGGAATTCGATATGAGTTCAGGGAAAGGGCTCCATGGTAGACCTTTTGGCTGTCGATTGAACTGCCATTTGTGGCACCAGCATCCCATATGGGCACAGGCACTGGTTTGAACCCTGGCGGCTCCACTTCCAATTCAGGTCCTTGCTAATCCAGCTCAGCTGGGAAAGCAGCTGTGGCTGGCCGGAGTGGACCCTGTACCTACAGGCTAGACCCAGAAGCAGCTCCCGGCTTTCAGCTAGCCCAAACCTGGCTGTTGTAGAGTGGATAGGATATCTCTAACTGCCTTTCCTTTCAGATGAGTAAATTTGTAAAAAGGAGTAGGGGCAGGGGATGCTCAAAACAAAAAGGGAGAAATATGGAGGAAATAAACTGGTCACAGAATGTTTCCTGAGGAATGTTGACCCTGCTGGCAGCAGCTGCCAGTTCATCATTCCCATGTGCTCAGGCACAAGGCCTAACATTTTGACCTCGTAGTGATTTCTCAGAGCAGCTAGGTGTTGAGGCAAGGGGAGAGGGTAGCGGCACTGAAGTGATGAGATAGCATAGAAATTACCCAGAAAGGTGCATGCAGTGCTATTTCAATGCTTTATTAACAGTTGGAAACGACCTAACAAACTGGCGGTGATGACATCTCCAAGGCCAAAGAGGCAAGGGAAACAGGTTTACATTTTGTGTCCCCTCCTTTTTAATTATTTTTTTAATTACATGAATCTTAGCAAAAGTAGATTTAAAAAAGAAAGGGTCAAAGCCCCAAGTGTGATTGATAAGGGAGAAGGGGTGACGCAGGGGAGCAGACGGACCTCTGCACCACTGTCCATCCCTCTGCCATCCTGGCGTGCAGAGTTTTCCTTCCTGGTGGCCCGCCAGTTTCCTAAGTGCTGCCCGGGGCCAGATCTTAACCGTACCGTTCTCCCCCAGAGCCAGGGGACCAGAAGCTAAAAGGGGCACATGGAGGACCGAAGTGCCACCTGACCCCAAGTATGTGTGAGCTTCCTGGATGCAGCTGGGGTTCCCAGTCAATTCCATGTGTCCACTCCGGAGAAGGGAGCCTGGGGGTGCAGTGTGCAGGAGCGCCCCCTTTGCCTCCTTGCCCAGCTAGCATCGTACATTTGGCTTGATAAATTGATTACATTTCTACAATATGGTTGCCCCGCAGCTCCTGCAGTGCTTAGCCTTGGCCCAGCTCAATCAGATTGGCTCCTCCTGCCCCACAGCTGGAGTGGGCAGAGGCAGTCTGCCTTGGCCCCAGGGTGCATAGGGTCAGCGCCAAGACTTAGCAGCCAGTCAGGACTGAGGCTTTCAGGGAAAAATTGTGGAAGTCTGGAACCTGCCATCAGAATCTCAGACTGAGGGGAAAGGGAAGGGTTTTTCTTTAAAAAAACAGCTTTTTTTTCTCTTTTCATACAAAAATAGATCCATTTGCAAAACAATTTCTTAGCCAGGAGGCTCCTCCTCCCATTGCCTTGGAGACAGAAGGGTGGGTGAGGTGTTGGGATGGTCACATTACAGCCCACACTCCACGTGGTGATGCTCTGAGGAAGGGAGCAGGGGGAGCCTTGAGGTTGGTGCAGAGGTGCGGGCACAGGTAGGGCGGCAGGCTGGAGGTAGGCTCCACCTCAGGGGCACCGTGCCCCGCTAGCCTACCTGCCCAGACTCTGGCACGGGCCACTGTGGGAACTGGTTCCAGTGGTCTAGATCCTTTGCGTTTTGGGAGGCCTTTCCCAGAAAGGTGGGGTCAAGGTGGGATTTGCTGCCCACTTCCCAGTGTCACACCACTAATAATAAATAACAAAAGCCAGGAGAGGGAGGGGAAGAGCAGAGGTGACAGCAGAAAAGAGGAATGACCTTGACCAAGGGTTGGTAAGCTCCATGCTGTTCTCAGGGCCCAAAAACCACAAAAGAAAACACCAATCAGCAAGACCGACCTAAGGGAAATGTGGCTGGGCAAGCAGGCTGGATGGGCCTCATAGGACACAGCCCTCTGAGTAACAGGAGAGACAGGGTTAAGGCAGCTAACACAGACCCTGCTTTGGTAAGAGAGCAGCCAGGGCTGGCCGGGCTGGGCCCAGGCCTCCCTCAGGCCACCCTTTCCTCCCGGCCACAGAAGCTGTAACGTTCAGAGGGCAGCAGGCCAGAGAGAGACTGGGTCAGGATGGCGGGAGTGGCCCCTGTGACCCCCTAGGCACCTGCTGCAGGGCAGGCCGCAGTCGGAGCTGCTGTGGCCCTGGGCCCCAGCCTAGCTTGCACGGCCAACCAACTCCTTGGCTTCCTCATGGATGGTGAGTGCGCCCTCGCTGGTCTTGGGCAGCTTGGCTGGAACGGCAGTCATGGCGTCCTCCTTGGTCAGCGCTGAAGCTAGCACAGATGTGACTGCACAGCCGGTCTTCCTGTTGCCTGTAGGAGACAAGAGACTCCATTCATGGAAAGCCTTGGTTCTTATTTCTTTTCAAATGTCACACCGCACATTCAGCTGGAAACCATGCAAACAGCTGTTTTGTAGGATTCCCAGGCCATTCTTTTTTTTTTTTTTTTTTTTAAGATTTATTTATTTTTGAACAGGAGGCAGAGATTCAACATAAGGGGTATATCTGGGGCAGCACAGATTGAGTATGGTGTAACAGCACAGCAAACCTGGTCTTTGTTCCCACATGAAAACAGTCCCCAGCCACCCAGAACCAGATCTAGGTGTTATTCCCTTGGCATTTCACAAGCGAGGAAGCACAGGCTGTTTGCTCATCACAAGGTTGCTGGAGTTAGTTGTACTACAGTTGAGTGCATGGTAGTATCTCCAGGTTCCTGCCAGTGTCGAGAAAACTCCTCCCAGAGAGGTGGGAAGAGCTTGCTCTTGCTCTCTCTGGTCCCCATGCCTGCTTTTCAATGGAGTGTAAGGAGGGAGAACGGGGGTGGGGTGGGGGGGGGTGGCAGAAGAGGTTCTCCACAAAGACATCTCCGTCTCAGTGTGACCCCAGTGTCCTCCAGAGGAAGGTGTGCCCCGGGCTGTGCTCGTCTTTTTTTTTTTTCCCTTAAAATATTTCTTATTATATTTTTGACATTCTTTACATAGTTAATTAGGGTAAAAAGGTTCAAGGGCTATAGGAAAGTGGGTAAGACTACTATTTCCACATTGCTTCCTTCATGTATCTGGAGTAAAGGGGGATAGTGAGGGAGAAGCCCCATCCAGTCTCCCACCTACCCCAGGACCCTGTGTGCTCATCTCTTCTCCCCATTTTCTGGAAGCATCACAAGAGACTGCCGTGTACACAGATAACTCCCTGGGGTCAGGGAAGGCTTGACATCAGAATTGTGTGTATTTGGAGTCCACTGAGGCAGATCCATGCAGACCAAAGAGTGAAGGCCAGGGCCTGGGGTGGAGAGGGAAGCGGCAGCAACAATGCACAGGCACAGGGCTGCTTGTGGAAATGATGAAAAGGTTCTTGAGTTCCTACTTAGTGACGCTATGAAAACCCAGAGTTAGATGCTTGAAAATGGTGAATTTGGGGCATGAGTTACAGCTTGGGGGTGGGGAAGAGGGGCAGGTATTTGGGTGCCTGGGTTCCCTCCAGGATTGACTCTGCCACCAATTCGAATTTTGGGTGATGTACTCAGGAGGCAGCAGGTGACAGTTCAAGAACTAGGGTCCCTGCCACTTATGTGGGGAGACCCAGACTGAGTTCCTGGCTCTTGGTTCCATCTGGGTAGTTCCATCCCAGCTCTTGTGGGCAGCTGGGGAGTGACGCAGCAGATGAAGATGTTTGTGTGTCTGCCTTTCAAATACAAATAAATTTTTAAAAATTTATCTTATAGCAGAATGACAAGAGAGAAATCTTACATCTGCTGGGTCACTCTGGTATTTGCAAAGCCAGGAGCTTCTTCCCATGTGGGTCTCTGGGGCCCAGGCACTTGGGTCATCTTCCTCAGCTTTCCCAGGCACACTGGCAGGGAGCTGGACTAGAAGGCAAGCAGCAGGTCTTGCACTGGTAGTGCTGAGATGGGCTGCCAGCACCCCAGGTGGTGGCTTAACGCTGGCCCAGACAATTGTAAAATGACTCCCTGGGGATGTGCAGGAAGCAGGACAGTCAGCAGTCCAAAATAGGACTGAAAGAGAGGACACATGCAGGAACCGAGTTTAGGGGGCCCAGAGCATAGTGCCTGCAAGGGGCCAGTTGCCCGGGCTCGGGCAGGCAGAAGCCACACTCTCACAGCCCATTCTCACAGCTCAGGCTCCCTCAGGCCAGGCAGGAACACCTAGCATGCTCTGGGTTACCAACTCAGAGGTCTGCTCCTCCTCCTGGGGGCCCAAAGGGGTGTCTGTCAGGAGGACAAAGAACAGTGAAGACCCCCATGGACAAGCCTCCAGGCTCTTCTGGTTGAACATTTGTGCATCAGCGATGGATGGGGAAGGAAGGGAGCCCATGCGAGTGCCTGCTGGACTCCGGGTACGCATCTCTTAGCTTCTACTGAGTTGGTCACCCTTGGCCCTACTTAGTTCCTACTCCTTTCCCCAGGACCCCATTTGTCACATCCACAGTGGCTGGCTGCAACTGTTGTGCTGCTTGGATTCTGCCCTACAGCAGTTGAGGCAATACTGTAGCAGCTGGTGTGTGTGTGTGTGTGTGTGTGTGTGTGAGAGAGAGAGAGAGAGAGAGAGACACACTAGTCCAGAGGGCAAGTGTGACAGGTCTTCAGTGTTTGCTAGACTCAGGAAGCTTGTGATGCGTCACAAATTTCATGAGAACTAGGAGCAGATGGCAGATAGGAAATAGACCAAGTTCTGCTTTTAAATCCTTGAAAGTATATATATATGTATGTATGTATACACACGCACACACTAGGGATGGATCCAAGGTGGCCTGATGTTAGGAATGTGAAGGCTTTTGTTGGAACTGGCAACAGAACCAACATTCCACTTTGTGGCCTCCATGCTGTTACTATGAAGAGTATATAAGCCCTAGAGAACAAGGGACCTCTTCCCTTCTCTCCCTACAGACTCATAAGCTCATGCCAAGCAGTGGCAGGAGCCGGTCGCATCTGAGAGGATCACCACCGCACTGATAGGCCCATGGGTGGGGGGAACAGATTTTTAAAAAAATATTTATTTATTCTTTATTGTAAAGTCAGATATAGAGAGGAGGAGAGACAGAGGAAGATCTTCTGTCCAATGATTCACTCCCCAAGTGAGTGCAATGGCCAGTGTTGCGCAGACCTGAAACCAGGAACTTCCTCCAGGACTCCCACGCAGGTGCAGAGTCCCAAGGCTTTGGGCCGTCCTCGACTGCTTTCCCAGGCTACAAGCAGGCAGCTGGATGGGAAGTGGAGCTGCCGAGATTAGAACCAGCACCCATATGGGATCCTGGTGCATTCAAGGTGAGGACTTCAGCCGCTAGGCCACGGTGCCGGGCCCTTGGGGGGAACAATTTTGAGCTCCAACTTGAGCTCTCCTGAGTCTGGGTTCCAAGAAGTGAGAAGTATCCAAGGATAGAATCAATCATACAGCACTTAGGGAGATGAGTTAGAAACGGTTAATGATGTGGAAAAGGACCTTTATAAAACACAAGCTAGGAATTACTACTAAAGAGGAAGTGTTTTTGTTAATAGACTTCCTTTGGGAAGAGGAAACTAGGACAGCTGGGGCAATCATTACCATCCTAAGTACTCATTATTGTCTAAAACTCCCATTATACTTCCTGTCCTATTTTTGTAAAAGGAGAAAAGAGTAAGTGGTGGTTCAGGTAACATTTTTGTAAAAGATTCATTTGTTTGAAAGGCAGAGTTAGAGAGGGAAGGAGGTTTTTCCATCTGCTGGTTCATGGCTTGGCCATGTGAAGCCAGGGGCTTTGTACGGGCACAAACTCTTAGGACTTTTCCAAGTGCATTTAGCACGGAGATAGACTGGACAAGGAGCAGCTAGGACTCAAACCGGGACCCATATGGGATGTTGGCAGGTACTGCACCTTTCTCTAGACAAGCAGGCATCAGAAAACCTTCCTGAAGGAACTTCAGGACCTGTGTCATGTCCACAGCTCTCCTGGTTTAGAAGAGGATGTGGTCCAGCAAGAGAGAGACCACTGTTGGCTTAGTGGACACAGCCCTGGGGAAGACTTCCTCTGGCTCTTAACTCCATTGCCCTCCAAGCAGCGATGAGACACTGGTCCTGGAGGTCTTGGGAACCTTTCCAATGCCAAGTTCCAGTAGTAAAGTGGGTGCTTACAGGGAAGCTGGGACATGGGGAAGGGAAGGAAAGAGTGGAATAACTGTCTTCCTTCCCCTTCATCCCTTCAAGCAAGTGGCCTGTGCAGAAGAGGTCACAATTCAGACGCGGAGATAAAAAGTTGAGTCACTGAAACCCTGAGCTGAGTCAATCATGGGCCTGCAAGAGCAGCTGTATACAATCCCAGGGATTCTTCCCTGTGACACTGAGCCCATTGTCCCCACACACCCTGCACTTCACAGTACTTTACGTGTTGCTTTTAATGAGCCAGCCTGATAGTGGGGCTCCTCCACTAACTCCTCAATGGGGCTTTGTACCCCACTCCCTTCCTCAGGTCTCCAGAGGCGGGGAAATTGTAACACTGCTTTAAGTCAGGGAAGAGACTGGCATCTCTGATCAGGAACAGCTGCCTCTGGGAAAGAGGAGGGTTGTGGCATTTGCTGGCTCACAGCAGCTGGCCTAGCAAAGGGTAGGGAAAGGGGGGGGGGGGGGGGGGGGGGGGGGGGGGGGGGGTGGGGGGGGTAGTGGTGGAAATTGGGAGGAAAGGGGTAGGGGGTGGATGGGGGAAGAAGTGAAATGTGGAGAAAAAAATGTGGTGGATGGGGATGGGGATAGGATTATGGTTTTGGTAGTTTGGGGTGGGGGGGGTTTGAGTGTGGATTGTAGAGTTTGTTGGTAATGGGGGGGTGGAGATAAAATAGGGGTTAGGGGGAGGGGGGGTGGGTGGGGGGGGGGGTGTGGAATGTGAGGGAAGGGGGGGAGGGGTATGGAAAATGAGGGAAGGGGGGAGGGAATAGAATATTGGGGAAAGGAAGGGGGGAGGGGGGGGGTTTGGGGGTTGGGAAAAGTGGAGAATATGTTAAATGGTAGGAGTGAGGTGGTAAAGTGTGGGAAGGGAGAGGAGGTGGAAATGAATGTGGAAGGGAGGTGGTTTGGATGTGGAAATGTATTTATGATGGAGATGATTGGGTTTTAATGGGGTTAGATAGAAAGGGGATGGGAAGGAGATGAATGAAGGGGGGAAGAATGGTCCCTCCTGCCCTGGGAGGCAGTACCATGGCTAACTTGGGTCCTCTGCTGCCAGGTTGTGTTCCAACAGAACCCAGCTTCCACGCCTGCGACTCTGGAGGGCGGGACTTCCCCAGCAGAGCAGAGCAAGCTCTGGCCAGCTTCCCGGGGACAGGAAGCATCTGGGATTCTAGTTTAGCTACACAGGAAGAGGCTTAAAAGGGAATTCCCCATCCAAAGTGGGATGCAGGTTGGCACTTAACTGAGACTTTCAGGACAACAGATGCGATGTTCTGTTGTTGAGTTACAAATGCTTCATACAAAGCTACACCACCTTATATGGAGAGGGAAACTGCAGAGCAGGAACCTTCAGAGACTAAATAGATTACTAACATCAGCTGTATCACTCTTGAGATACAACACGCAGGCTTACAGATGGCTGTTGCCTTCGAGTCCCAAGTCATCTGTACCTACCTCTCCTCCTCTTTACAGAGTCTGTACCCAAGATGCCAGAAAAATTGTAAGAGTTGGGACGAAGGATTTAGCTCGGGTAGAACAGGCAGCCAGCCACTGTGGACAAAAACCCATAGCAATCTCAAAGGTTTGGGCCAGGACCCTGAGTTACTGTGGGTCAGCATGCTCCGGATTCTGATCTTTAGGTGCCCTGTTTCAGACTGGGATGGGTGTTAGAAGTCACAGGGCTAGGGGTACAGCAGCCTGGTGTTAGCGCTCTTGGAAACAGTAACCTAGAATGCAGCCTCCTCTGTACCTCGGGTTCTTCAGCCTGGGAGAGCAGCAGTGACTACTACCCCCAGAAGGCCTTCCGCAGACAGTTGGTGCAGGTCACCCCCACGAGGGACAGCCTGGGTTATACTTGTATGGAGCACTGTGTGCTGTCCTGAAGAAAAACCCATTCATGCTTCCCCATTAACTAAATCCTGGATCCTCTCACTCAGTATAATTGCCATGAATCTTTTGAAAAGTTGAGGAGGAGATAGTGGAGAATGAGTTGGCGAGGACCGGCACAGGGGAGGGTGACTGCTGCCCAGGACAAGGTGAGTCTCTGCTGCAGGCAGACATCTGAGGGTGGGAGACCTGCCCTGTCTTCACAGGGTTTCACACTGTGCCACTTGGTCTCTGTCGCTTAGGAAGTCAACAGTAAGGACTCTATAATTGGACTAGATTGAAAAACCTATGGAAATGTTAGTTTTTAGGGCAACTTTTGGTCAGGGCTCACTAAGCTCTCTGCCCTATTTCCTTTTTTTTTTTTTTGGCAAATTCTTGATTCAAGAGTGGGAGAAATACAAGAATAGTCTGACTCATTGCCAGTCCTCACACCCTAGTTTCCCAGGACAGTACTTAGTGATATAGGAAGAAGTCACCTAGAAAATGCACATGACACATGGAGGCTTTGTGGAGAAGTCTCGCCCTTCCCAGGGCAGTGTTTCAGAACCAGTGAGGCATATACCTGCCTTGGCACCCAGGCGGAGCTCCCCATGCTTACTCACCCTGGCGAGGGCCTCTCTTACGCCGGAATGCGGCCCCAGACTGCAGGGCTTCTAGAAGGCTGTCCATCACACCTGTCTCATCACCCTCTGTCATGGAGAAACATGGAGATGTGTCAGGCAGAGCAGCAGGGCAAATATTGCGTGCCATCCAAGATGTTCTTGCCTATGGTGACAGGCAGCACAGGGTAGACAAAGAGGGCTCCAGCTTCAGTGTCACAGCCCGTGTCTGTTTCAAGTGACACTATGCTGGACTTGCCATCCAGGCCACACCCTGGGCCGTGTCCCTGCAGGGCCACCCTCCAGGATTCAGTTTGGAGTGGCACATGGAGACCAGTACAGAGACTACCTTTTTGGAATTAACAATCAAGTGTGTTACCTCTGTGTTTGTACATTTCACAGCTGTTTACACAAACCCTCAGGCTTGATTTCAAAGCAAGGTGGAGGAAGATTGCTGATGAGTACTGCCTCCAGTGGCTACATCTTCACCAGTTCAGCTTTACATCTAAGGGGAAAGTCTGACTGGCAGGGAAAGAGTTAAGATAGGAACCTCTTCCAGCCTGGCTATGTTTCCATGGCAACAGCTCACTATAGTGAAATCTGAAACTGTGAAATCCCAAGGAGCCTGTAGGCTGCCAGCTCTAAGGCTGGGGCTCACTGCTCCCAGCGCCACCTGCTGGCTGAACACCAACAGTGTGGCTGACCTATATTTCAACCTCATTTGTTTGACCCTAGGGTAGTGGGAACCGGGCAAGGTCCACTACGCCACCTGTTGGCCGGTGTGGAAGGTGGAGTCCAACTCCACTCTGCCTTACATCACTGGATTCATCCTAGCAGAAACTTGGGGCCAGCATACCTGGAACAAATCCTACAGAGTCAGAATTGGGGGGAGGATACTCGGTATGGACATTATTAAAATAAGCAATACTGGAGCGGAGGTTAGGGCACGGGACTGTGCTTCAGAATAGCATAGAACTGTGCTCAGATTCTTTACAGACCCGTGAACCCCTTGCCTTTTAGGCAGAGAAGGGCAGTAGCAGTTCAGTGCCCTGAGCAGACACTGTATCTGTTGTATTTCCGCTGCTCCAGGGAGTAAAGGCTGGGGGCAGGGAATCCAGAGTGGCAAAGCAGCAAAGACAGGAAACAGAGGGCCAGTAATTGAGACCATATGTTTCAACAAAGACATGCTTCTGGTAGTGAAATACCCTGCGGAAGAAAGAAGAGGGTAGCCAGCTCTCTGTCCCCCCCCCCGTCAGAGGTCAAGCCATTTGCAGCCAACAGTGTGCTGAGCTGTGTGAATGTACAGGGGGCAGGCAAGAGACATTTTAGGAAAGAAAAAGTTCCAGTGGAGGGAAGGCCACAAGGACCTTGTGATTGGCAGAAGGAAAGTGTATTAACAGCAGTACTAACGTCATGGGGGTCTTGGGGCGATTGAGACAGAACCTGCGAAGTGACACTCCTGACTCCAGGCTGTGACAGCTCCTGCCTCGGGCCAGCAGCCCTCCCCACTGCACAGCTCACCTGCATTCATGTCGATGAGTTGCTCTCTCTTCTGCTGCTTCTCCAGCCGCTCTTTCTCTGCCTTCTCCTTGGCTAGTTTGGCTCGGTGCATCTTTTCTTCTGTCTCTCGCCGCTTCTGGTTCTCCTTGACCGCTTGCTATGAGACAGGATGGGGAGAATGTGGGCCTGTGAGCACCTGGCAATGGGCAAACGCTCCCCCAAAGGCTAAGGGGCAAGTAGCCCTTTGCTTACCAAAAACATATTTTTAAAGTTGTGCAGGTCCATGAAGAATTCTTCCACAGACAACTTCTTGGGGTCAAAGAGGAAGTAGTCACCTAGCTCCTTATAGAGGTTTTCCATGTTGGAATGCATCATTCGCAGCTTATTGTACTGTTCCTGCGCATCTTTCACAAAGCTGTGCGGTCATGGAGTAAAGGACTCAAGCACGGACACTGGCATGCCCCAGGCTGTCCAGCACTGCACCCCTTGTAGCAATAGATAACAGAAGCAACCTATTCCCCCTGCTTTCTAAGTAAATCCTAAATTATGGTACAGTCATAAAATAGGAGGTGGCAATTTAGAAAGAGGAAGTTCTGCATTTGTATGGGATGTATAAAAGGTAAACGCAGCACAGTTTAAAAACACGAGGTGTGAATCACAAGCCCGGGTGGTAGCAGTTACCTTTGGGAAGCAGTTTGTGGAAGGCGTGTTGGGGAATGAGGGAGGACTCTGATTTATCTGCGGTTTCCAATGCCACAACAATGAGAGTGCTATGTATTTACTGGAAAAGAAAAATTTACAAACTACGTATTGCCATAGTTATCCTAGCCTCCTCCATGGGAAAGTTTCTTTCTCTTCCAGGAGTAACTACCCCCTTCCAAGAAAGGATATAGTCATCTTCTCAACAAACTTGTCTTTTTCATCTGTGGCAGCTGGAAAATTCTGAACATCCCTTTCCACGTCAGCAATCTGTTTCTTCATCTGATCAAGGTTCTTTTGCAAGTTCTCAGCAGAAACTACAGGAAAGAGGACAGAGGTAGCGAGAGTTTTACTAATATGGCACTTCCTGGCCCAGGACCCCTCCAGCCTGCAGAGCACAGCTTCAGGCTGTGCAGTCTCCGGCACCTGACCAAGTTAGTTCTCCCATCTAGCCTCCTCTGGTCGCTTCACACATTTGTGACTGTAAAGAGTTTGCTAATTGAGACTCTAGTCTTCCCGAGGTGAACAGTGCTGCGTGCCAAAGAGGAATCATTTAACAAATGTTTCCAAACTCCCCTGAGATCTCGGTGTCACATGTATTGTAGGGAACAGGCTGTGAGGAGGAGACAGACATGGAAATAGTAGGGCAGGCACCTGCCCTGTTTCTCCTGAAGGCTCCTTTTTCTTTGCTTGCTTCTAGGATGGTGAGGCCCGATTTCTGTTTGCTGCTGCTTTTGGGTATTTCCCTGGGAGAGAAAGACAACTTCCATATCTTGGCAGGGAGACCTTTGTCAGCCTCACACTCCCCCATGCCACACCTATGCCCTCCAGTTACAGACTGAATGGGAGAGGAGCTGGGATCTAGACAGACAGTTGTTTATTTCTCTCCACGCAGAGTCTTGGTGGATTCAGTGTCACCTTTTTTTAGTTTTACCCCAATCTGCTGTACCTCGGCTGGCTTTCTCCACATGGGCCAGCTCATCTGGAAACTTGAGGACATCAGGATACTGATTCTCACACAATTCGGCCAAAAAGTGTAGCAGTGTCATCTTCTGATCTGTGGACTTCGTGTCCCGGAGCTTTGGGTGAGTAGAGAAACTATTAGTTCCAACACCAAAGACCTGTGGCCTTTCCCTCTGTGTGGTCCTGCTCTAACCTCCTGGCTTACCTTACAGAGGAAGCTGATGTTGAAGCCAAAAGCCCCAGCGTTCCTGGAGCCAGCGTTCATGTAGTTTCCTACCAGCAGGGTAAGCTCCAGAAGACTGGAGAAGCTGTTGCTCTTGCGCAGCTCTTCACATGCAGCAGTGACAGACACAATCTCTGGCTTGATGTTCTCCACCTGCTCATTGAACTGCAGCTTGAAGAGAATGGCATTGAGGCGAGGCCGCAGACGGGGCACGGTGCCCATCTAGTGGGGAAAACATGCAGTTCTGTGACACCATAAGATACAGGCTTGAGGACAGGATAGTACTCCGGCTGTTGGGGAAGGAACTCTCACCACCACGCCAAACTGCTCGGACTCAGCCAGGTCATCATATTCATCCTTGAGCTCAGAAAGCATCTTCAACTGCTCTGGCTCTGGCATCTGCTTAATGAGGTTCTGGAAGAGAAACAGTGTGCTGTCCACTCGTGCCTCAATGACTGACTCATTAGTCCTGCACTCCGCCCAACAACCATACCATGAAGCAATCAATGCATGGTATAAAGGAACAGCTAACTGATGAGATGGCAAGATTTTTGGAAAGATCCCAGAAATAACCTGACCATGAGAGAAATGGCAGACCTTAGTCATTGGTAGAGCGTGGCGTCACATCTAAGCAGATGGAGCTGACACAAGTGTGCAGCTGGGAATAGAGCCCGCTGGGGCACAACGACTTCACTCCGTACCTGGATCATGGACTCAGTAAGAACAGCCTCATTCACCTCCAGGACAACATTCTTGATCTCTTGGTAGGGCATGCGGAAGGACCCCAGAAAGATGGCTGCCAGGAAGTAAGAGACGAAGACATGCTCAACAAATCTCCCCAAAACTCATCCTATACACCTAGGAGGCTAGGGCTCTTTACAACCATACTGTTCTGTGTACATTACCCAATCATGGATTCCTCTGTCTTTGTTAACACTGAAGTCTTAGATTTATATTAAACATTGATGTATATTAAATACTTCACCTCACTCACAGGACTCTTATCCTCAAAGCTGTCAGTGCCTTCACCTGCCAACTGTTAAACGTCCTGTTTTGCCCCTAAACCATACCCTGTTTTTTGAGCTTTCTTGTTACCTCCCTGTTTCATTTTCTGAGTGTCTGTTTGACTCAACCATCTCTAACTAAAAGCGTAATGTTACAGAACTATCAGATTAGATGATATGCTGGAGATCCATTAGTGCCTGGCATACAGTTCACCAAATGGAAGGCTGAAGCGGTAGGACCCTATATTGGACAGAGAGGTGCAACCAAAGTTACTCACAGAGATTCTGAGCTGTTTTGGAGTCCAACACCTTTAACTCTTTGACTTTTTTCTTCTGTACAGATTTTTTCTCTTCTCCACCTTCCTGGTCTTTCTTGGCTAGGAAGGGAAAAATTCAGAACCATGACTAAAGACAAATTAGTTTGCATCAGGTGGGTATGGGGGGAGGGGAAGGAAGGAAGGGTTATTATATCCAGTCAATAGGGGTGTAGTGAGAGTTTCGCCTATCATGCCAGGAACAGGTACATCGGGTGCCTAGACAGATTTCTCCACAAGCTAGATGGACAGATGGACACTGAATATGAAACTGCAGGTGTGAGGAATCCAGTCTGAGGAGTGAGGCAGTGGGCTCTCGTCAGAGGGCCGGTCCACTTGTGTGCGCTGTTCCAGGGTCTGAGGAGGTGATGGACATTGGTCACACCAGTTAGAACCTACGGAGTGCCTGGCAGTGGTGGCTGAAGCAGGAAAATGACTTGAACCATTTTTTTTTTTTTGAAGAATCGCTTGACTGCTAGAGAAATAAAGCAATGCAGGAGGAAGAGGAGACCAGTTAGGGAGCTGCAGCAGCTCCTCTCGCAGAGCTCGTGGTAGCCTCCTGAGCTAGAAGCAAAGGTGGTAGTGAGGGCGGCCCGGGTTCAAATCCTGAGGAAGGGAGAAGGGAGAAGGGAGAAGGGAGAAGGGAGAAGGGAGAAGGGAGAAGGGAGAAGGGAGAAGGGAGAAGGGAGAAGGGAGAAGGGAGAAGGGAGAAGGGAGAAGGGAGAAGGGAGAAGGGAGAAGGGAGAAGGGAGAAGGGAGAAGGGAGAAGGGAGAAGGGAGAAGGGAGAAGGGAGAAGGGAGAAGGGAGAAGGGAGAAGGGAGAAGGGAGAAGGGAGAAGGGAGAAGGGAGAAGGGAGAAGGGAGAAGGGAGAAGGGAGAAGGGAGAAGGGAGAAGGGAGAAGGGAGAAGGGAGAAGGGAGAAGGGAGAAGGGAGAAGGGAGAAGGGAGAAGGGAGAAGGGAGAAGGGAGAAGGGAGAAGGGAGAAGGGAGAAGGGAGAAGGGAGAAGGGAGAAGGGAGAAGGGAGAAGGGAGAAGGGAGAAGGGAGAAGGGAGAAGGGAGAAGGGAGAAGGGAGAAGGGAGAAGGGAGAAGGGAGAAGGGAGAAGGGAGAAGGGAGAAGGGAGAAGGGAGAAGGGAGAAGGGAGAAGGGAGAAGGGAGAAGGGAGAAGGGAGAAGGGAGAAGGGAGAAGGGAGAAGGGAGAAGGGAGAAGGGAGAAGGGAGAAGGGAGAAGGGAGAAGGGAGAAGGGAGAAGGGAGAAGGGAGAAGGGAGAAGGGAGAAGGGAGAAGGGAGAAGGGAGAAGGGAGAAGGGAGAAGGGAGAAGGGAGAAGGGAGAAGGGAGAAGGGAGAAGGGAGAAGGGAGAAGGGAGAAGGGAGAAGGGAGAAGGGAGAAGGGAGAAGGGAGAAGGGAGAAGGGAGAAGGGAGAAGGGAGAAGGGAGAAGGGAGAAGGGAGAAGGGAGAAGGGAGAAGGGAGAAGGGAGAAGGAGAAGGGAGAAGGGAGAAGGGAGAAGGGAGAAGGGAGAAGGGAGAAGGGAGAAGGGAGAAGGGAGAAGGGAGAAGGGAGAAGGGAGAAGGGAGAAGGGAGAAGGGAGAAGGGAGAAGGGAGAAGGGAGAAGGGAGAAGGGAGAAGGGAGAAGGGAGAAGGGAGAAGGGAGAAGGGAGAAGGGAGAAGGGAGAAGGGAGAAGGGAGAAGGGAGAAGGGAGAAGGGAGAAGGGAGAAGGGAGAAGGGAGAAGGGAGAAGGGAGAAGGAGAAGGGAGAAGGGAGAAGGGAGAAGGGAGAAGGGAGAAGGGAGAAGGGAGAAGGGAGAAGGGAGAAGGGAGAAGGGAGAAGGGAGAAGGGAGAAGGGAGAAGGGAGAAGGGAGAAGGGAGAAGGGAGAAGGGAGAAGGGAGAAGGGAGAAGGGAGAAGGGAGAAGGGAGAAGGGAGAAGGGAGAAGGGAGAAGGGAGAAGGGAGAAGGGAGAAGGGAGAAGGGAGAAGGGAGAAGGGAGAAGGGAGAAGGAGAAGGGAGAAGGGAGAAGGGAGAAGGGAGAAGGGAGAAGGGAGAAGGGAGAAGGGAGAAGGGAGAAGGGAGAAGGGAGAAGGGAGAAGGGAGAAGGGAGAAGGGAGAAGGGAGAAGGGAGAAGGGAGAAGGGAGAAGGGAGAAGGGAGAAGGGAGAAGGGAGAAGGGAGAAGGGAGAAGGGAGAAGGGAGAAGGGAGAAGGGAGAAGGGAGAAGGGAGAAGGGAGAAGGGAGAAGGGAGAAGGAGAAGGGAGAAGGGAGAAGGGAGAAGGGAGAAGGGAGAAGGGAGAAGGGAGAAGGGAGAAGGGAGAAGGGAGAAGGGAGAAGGGAGAAGGGAGAAGGGAGAAGGGAGAAGGGAGAAGGGAGAAGGGAGAAGGGAGAAGGAGAAGGGAGAAGGGAGAAGGGAGAAGGGAGAAGGGAGAAGGGAGAAGGGAGAAGGGAGAAGGGAGAAGGGAGAAGGGAGAAGGGAGAAGGGAGAAGGGAGAAGGGAGAAGGGAGAAGGGAGAAGGGAGAAGGGAGAAGGGAGAAGGGAGAAGGGAGAAGGGAGAAGGGAGAAGGGAGAAGGGAGAAGGGAGAAGGGAGAAGGGAGAAGGGAGAAGGGAGAAGGGAGAAGGGAGAAGGGAGAAGGGAGAAGGGAGAAGGGAGAAGGGAGAAGGGAGAAGGGAGAAGGGAGAAGGGAGAAGGGAGAAGGGAGAAGGGAGAAGGGAGAAGGGAGAAGGGAGAAGGGAGAAGGGAGAAGGGAGAAGGGAGAAGGGAGAAGGGAGAAGGGAGAAGGGAGAAGGGAGAAGGGAGAAGGGAGAAGGGAGAAGGGAGAAGGGAGAAGGGAGAAGGGAGAAGGGAGAAGGGAGAAGGGAGAAGGGAGAAGGGAGAAGGGAGAAGGGAGAAGGGAGAAGGGAGAAGGGAGAAGGGAGAAGGGAGAAGGGAGAAGGGAGAAGGGAGAAGGGAGAAGGGAGAAGGGAGAAGGGAGAAGGGAGAAGGGAGAAGGGAGAAGGGAGAAGGGAGAAGGGAGAAGGGAGAAGGGAGAAGGGAGAAGGGAGAAGGGAGAAGGGAGAAGGGAGAAGGGAGAAGGGAGAAGGGAGAAGGGAGAAGGGAGAAGGGAGAAGGGAGAAGGGAGAAGGGAGAAGGGAGAAGGGAGAAGGGAGAAGGGAGAAGGGAGAAGGGAGAAGGGAGGAGAAGGGAGAAGGGAGAAGGGAGAAGGGAGAAGGGAGAAGGGAGAAGGGAGAAGGGAGAAGGGAGAAGGGAGAAGGGAGAAGGGAGAAGGGAGAAGGGAGAAGGGAGAAGGGAGAAGGGAGAAGGGAGAAGGGAGAAGGGAGAAGGGAGAAGGGAGAAGGGAGAAGGGAGAAGGGAGAAGGGAGAAGGGAGAAGGGAGAAGGGAGAAGGGAGAAGGGAGAAGGGAGAAGGGAGAAGGGAGAAGGGAGAAGGGAGAAGGGAGAAGGAGAAGGGAGAAGGGAGAAGGGAGAAGGGAGAAGGGAGAAGGGAGAAGGGAGAAGGGAGAAGGGAGAAGGGAGAAGGGAGAAGGGAGAAGGGAGAAGGGAGAAGGGAGAAGGGAGAAGGGAGAAGGGAGAAGGGAGAAGGGAGAAGGGAGAAGGGAGAAGGGAGAAGGGAGAAGGGAGAAGGGAGAAGGGAGAAGGGAGAAGGGAGAAGGGAGAAGGGAGAAGGGAGAAGGGAGAAGGGAGAAGGGAGAAGGGAGAAGGGAGAAGGGAGAAGGGAGAAGGGAGAAGGGAGAAGGGAGAAGGGAGAAGGGAGAAGGGAGAAGGGAGAAGGGAGAGGGGAGAAGGGAGAAGGGAGAAGGGAGAAGGGAGAAGGGAGAAGGGAGAAGGGAGAAGGGAGAAGGGAGAAGGGAGAAGGGAGAAGGGAGAAGGGAGAAGGGAGAAGGGAGAAGGGAGAAGGGAGAAGGGAGAAGGAGAGAAGGGAGAAGGGAGAAGGGAGAAGGGAGAAGGGAGAAGGGAGAAGGGAGAAGGGAGAAGGGAGAAGGGAGAAGGGAGAAGGGAGAAGGGAGAAGGGAGAAGGGAGAAGGGAGAAGGGAGAAGGGAGAAGGGAGAAGGGAGAAGGGAGAAGGAGAAGGGAGAAGGGAGAAGGGAGAAGGGAGAAGGGAGAAGGGAGAAGGGAGAAGGGAGAAGGGAGAAGGGAGAAGGGAGAAGGGAGAAGGGAGAAGGGAGAAGGGAGAAGGGAGAAGGGAGAAGGGAGAAGGGAGAAGGGAGAAGGGAGAAGGGAGAAGGGAGAAGGGAGAAGGGAGAAGGGAGAAGGGAGAAGGGAGAAGGGAGAAGGGAGAAGGGAGAAGGGAGAAGGGAGAAGGGAGAAGGGAGAAGGGAGAAGGGAGAAGGGAGAAGGGAGAAGGGAGAAGGGAGAAGGGAGAAGGGAGAAGGGAGAAGGGAGAAGGAGAAGGGAGAAGGGAGAAGGGAGAAGGGAGAAGGGAGAAGGGAGAAGGGAGAAGGGAGAAGGGAGAAGGGAGAAGGGAGAAGGGAGAAGGGAGAAGGGAGAAGGGAGAAGGGAGAAGGGAGAAGGGAGAAGGGAGAAGGGAGAAGGGAGAAGGGAGAGGGAGAAGGGAGAAGGGAGAAGGGAGAAGGGAGAAGGGAGAAGGGAGAAGGGAGAAGGGAGAAGGGAGAAGGGAGAAGGGAGAAGGGAGAAGGGAGAAGGGAGAAGGGAGAAGGGAGAAGGGAGAAGGGAGAAGGGAGAAGGGAGAAGGGAGAAGGGAGAAGGGAGAAGGGAGAAGGGAGAAGGGAGAAGGGAGAAGGGAGAAGGGAGAAGGGAGAAGGGAGAAGGGAGAAGGGAGAAGGGAGAAGGGAGAAGGGAGAAGGGAGAAGGGAGAAGGGAGAAGGGAGAAGGGAGAAGGTTCACTCTTTTGCTTTTAATGAGATGAAAGCTAACACAGACGCGAAGGGATACAATGTCCTCCAGTGGGGTAGATGAGTGTAGCAATTCATGACATCCCACTGTTTCCTTTCCAGTCCTGCTCCCTGCTAAAGTGCTGGGACTGTACCACCCACATGGGAGACCTGGAGGAAGCTCCTGGCTTTAGCTTGGCCCAGTGCTATTGGTTGTGGTCATCCCCGGAGTGAATCAG